CCCCGCCTACAATTTTTGACTCCCTCAAACACAGAAGTCCCTGGGTATCTGCCACGGGATTGGTTCCAGGACTCCCCCCCGCCCCTCTTCCCGCCACCACCACACCAAAATCCAAATGCTCAAGTTTCTTATGTAAAACAATGCATATAGGTGCATTGGATCCCAGGAATCCAAGCCGTGGCTCGAGATCGTTTCAGCTGAATTCACGGATGTGAAGTACAGGGATAGGGAGGGCCAACTACATGCTTATTGAACAAAATCCCCGTGTAAGAGAGCGCACGCAGTTCAAAACCATAAATTCAATATGGTTGTCCGTACTTCACATCCAGGACGGACGGTACTTCTAGCTATCCAGAAATGGCGTTCCCCGCCCGGCCCCTCAGCGCGCTTTGGCCCATGCGCAGTACCAAATCCCTCGCGCTGGGACTCGTTGTCCCTGGGGCTAGTCCCGCCTACTCTGCTCCCTCTGCCTTTGCAAGGGCTTCTGCTTTGGCATTTATCATGGCCTTCCGCCTCATCCACCACGAAGCAGGTGCCCCTGGCACACTGACGGGCTCCCCAGGAGCCCAATTACAGAAAAGACGCAACACGAATTCCATTTCGCAGGAATGAGCGCGGTTCCCCACAGCTCCAAGGGAGCGCTTGTAGGGAGGAGCCTGCCAGGAGGCTGTGGTTGTCGCATAGCGTCAGCCCGCAAGCTCCTCCCCCGGTGGTGCCTCTAAACACGTCTTTCCGCTTACTTCCTCCTCTCTTTTGCCGCCATCGTAGGGTGTGTGGTTGACTCTTCGCCATGGTAAGTCCATCCGTTACCATCGGCTCGGGGGTGGCTTCCTGAGACCTTAGGTCTCTGCGAGCTCGCCCGTGCCGCGTGCTGCATCAAGGTGTGGGAGCCTTTTTAAAGGCTTTTTGCTGAGAAGTTCGAGTTCGGTCCCCTCTCCAGTTGGTGGGCCTGGCTGGAAGCTTGCAAGCTATTGAGCGCCTAAAAGGTGCAGGCTGCGCTGGCGCTGCGACTTCTCAGGTGGGGTGCAGTGTGCTCCAGGCCGCCGGCCGGGTGGTCAGGGCACCGCTTCTGCTCACCCTTCTGGAGCGAACTGGTTTTGGTGCAGGGAGAGAAGTCGGTGGTGGGGGCGGACGGGGGAAGCACAACAGAAATTGTGGCCCGCAGTCTGCACGCGACATGTGCGGGGTATTGAGAACAGAATGTGGGCTACTGGTTTTCGTAAAGCTTTTTGGCTTGTTGGCTCTGGGCCTACCACGTTATGAGCTTCCAGAACATTTTAGTCTTTTGTTCAGGGACTTGAGCGTCAACTCAGAAAAGCGCCTGGGAAAAGGAGTGTTGTGATGTGAACTTATATGCTATTTGGACATTCTTCATAACATGCCAACTGCGGACAGTCACTGTCGTGGGTTTTCCTGTAACGGCCCCTTGAGAAGTTAAAATTGTTTATAGGTTTGTAGGTACGAAGAGAATCATCAATCATCTTTGGTGTTTTACAATTTTATTAGTTGACAGAAAATTTACAACTGCAACTGTGAGCTGGGTAAGAGGGTATATATAGTCTTTGCCTAATTTATAATGGTCCCTGTTATTATGCAAGGTTGTGTTGGGCCACATTGGCCAGATTTTAGACCAGCATTCATGCTATTTGGGTTGTCCTGCAAACTGAGGAGGGGGTTGGTTGTGGTTGGATGACCTGAGTTCTTTATGAAAGCCAAAAGGTGCAAAGGGAAATTGGGAAAAATCATCCTTGGAAAAGTGTTAGAATTAATATCAAAATGGTCATCTGGTTAGAATAGATCTACCGAATGTCAGAGACTTCGTGTAAATTCACAATGACCGGTGAAAGTGGGTCCCCCTGTGTAACAGAGAAGGGCACTGAGACTGGTTGACTTGCGAGTGATACATTGTTTCGTTTACTAAAAGCTGTGTTTTTGAAAAGCAAGTTCCCCAGCTGTAGCTATCCCCAATGTGGTCCTCCTAGGGAAAACTGGAATGTGCCCTAGCCTTAGAGGAGAGAGCACCTGGCTTTGAATCCCAGTTCTGCACATTTATACTCTTTGGGGCAGGTTACATACCTCCCTGACTCTTTTTTTTTTTTTTTTAACGTGAACAATGTGAATTACGTTATCTACCTCCAGAGACATTGCAAGGAACAGAACAAAGGGCATGAGGGGTGGTTTGGCATCCAGAGGATTGTTTTTGGTATATATATTATATATATATATTTTTTTTTTTTAGATTTTTTTTTTAATTGGGGAATTGGGGGATGGGAACAGTGCTGGGGAATTGGGGGAAGGGGAACAGACAAGTTGCTGTCCTTTTGTTCTTCAGTCTAGTTGTGGAGGACGTTGCTTCACTGGCCCGAGTTGGCACCACCATTGCTCTCTTCCCGGGCGAGGCAGATCAGTCGCCGGCTTCCGGACGGCTGCTCACTGCGGTTGCTGGCCGCTCACGCTGGCTGCTGGCCACACACGGTAGCCCATGGCAACCCACTGCCACAGGGGCTGCAGCCTACGCCTTCGCCGGCGACTCATGGCAGCCCAGCTCCAGGTTGAGCTGTTGTTCAGCATCTTAGCTGCAGAGGGCAGTGTCACTGGCCCTCATATGTGGGATCCGAACCGGCGCCCTCTGGCATCCCAAGCCAGTTCTTAACCATTGCGCCGCTCGGCCGGCCCTTTTTGGTATATATTAAGCATTCAAATGTATATTGAATTTTGTGGGAGTTCCTGACTTTGAATCTTTTGAGCAAGTTCTGGTATTACTAAATTGATTCCATTTCTTTCCCAGTCTTCTCACAAGACTTTCAGGATCAAGCGGTTCCTGGCCAAGAAACAAAAGCAGAATCGGCCCATTCCCCAATGGATTCGGATGAAAACTGGTAATAAAATCAGGTAAGGATACCACCCCCACTGTTTTTTTGTTTATTTTATTTTTTGTTTTTAATTTAAGATTACTTTTTGGACATAAATGTATAATTAAAAGTTAACTGCAATCCAATTTATCCTGTACCACCATTCTGAAATTCTTTTTTATTTTTTAAATGTGCTTCCTCTGGGTTTCTGGATACCACCCAGCCTACAGCTGGGCTTTTAGGGACAGACACTCCGATTTTTGTCAGTTTCCTGGTTGTCTTAAGTCTGGGCCAGAACATGAGATGCAAGTCCGTCTTTCTCATTGCACATCCCAGTGGGGAAGACCATGTTACTCACCTAATCCATCTTTGAAGTATTGACCCTTTTAAAAATTGGAAAATTGCCCTCCACTGCAGAAGTAGTTGAATTGATGGTTTTACAAGAAATACATTACTAGAATTACTACAAAGGACCTCCAATCCAGGGTCATCTAAGCCAACTCCAGGCAAAGCTAGGCCTAAAACCCTGGTCTCCTGCATTCTTTTCAGTCCCACTGCTCTTTGGAGACCAGGTGAGCTTTGAGACAGGTCTAGCATCAAATCAGTGAGATTTTCCCAAGGGCTCATAGCCAGTGACAGCCTGGGTGTGCTAAACAGCTTTTGGAACTTTGGTTTGTTTAAAATGAAAATTAGATTTCCTGGCTCTCCCAAACAATTGAACCCAGAAGACCACAGAGGAGGAGGGAACAAATATTATTACTAAAACTCTTATTTTCAGTTTTTGGGCCTAGCAAGTGGGTCCCTTTTGTAAGATAAAGGTGTTAAGAACTCAGGAGTGCAAAATCATGAACATAGGATAGAACCCTGGTTTGATTATATGGCACATCTAAGTAGGATTAGTTTTCTCATATAAAGACTAAGAGGTGAATTGTTAGAGCTAAAATTTAAGGCCCATTTCCTTAACTCATTTAGCCAGTTAGACATGTGAAAATCGCCTCCCACTGTAGCCTTATATGCCAGTTGTTTGCTGCCTTTGATTTATTGGGTACTAGACACTGGTATTTATTATTGATGCATATTAACTTGTATAGGGGATGTCTCACTGTTACAGGTGCAACTATAGAATGTAAAGCCCATGGTGTTGCCATCATACAATACTGAGAAAAGAGCGTTGTCACTTGGCGAAGTGGTTTGTATGGCAGCTCAGCCTTTCTACAAGTTTGATGAATTTCTGTTGAGAACATCAGACATCCATAGTAAAGCCCCCTTTTTAAATGTATCAACATGAACATCCGTTTCTCTGTCATGTCCCCATCCGATGAAGGTGCAACCTGCCCTTATAGGTTTTAAGGGATGAAAGAAATGTATATGAAGTTCAGTGCCTAGCTCAATAGGTTACCTGCAGTTGTCAATATTAGCCTCTTTGCTTTGTGGACTCCTAGAGCTGGGAAAGTATTTTGTATTTAGGATTACACACTCTTGGCCAAAATAATTGGCACAATAGAATGATTGTTCTATTGACTCAACTGTCTTCTAACTTTTAAAATGTATTGAAAGCAGGTTGCAATTACAGTGCTTCATTTTGTGGAAGTACTGCCATTATCCTGCTGAAAGAAAATCTTGTGTTGATCATGTTTGATTTTGCCTTTATTAGGGTAAAATGACAGATTGACATAGACAATTCTGAGATGGCCTTAGCTCTGCAAATCATGTGCTTTAGTACTGAAATGACTGAGGGTGTTAATCTATTATAAAAGCTATGCAGGAGCTTTTATGTGTGTGACCCATTATGTAGAAATGACTGGTTTTGAATGTAGTTCAGAAGTGGAGGGGGTTGAAAATAACATGTATGTCTGGGTCTGCCCCAGGTCTGTGGAATCAAAGATGGGTGAGTGTACACTTGGGGAGGGGAAAGAGCTTCCCCACTACTCCCGTCTCAAGAACCAGTGTATTTTCCTACCCTGGAATCATTTTGAGAGGTAAAAATTTGATTTGACTAGTTCTTAAACACATCTAGCAAATCATTTTTTACTCTCCAAAAAGAGCTCCAAACTTGTTAAAGGAAGGAAAAAAGGGACCCTTTGCCTTTCAAGGATTTTATGGTACTTAAAAAGCAATGTTTGTGGTAAATGAGAGCAGCTAAATGGAGGTGAGACTGCCTTGACTGCCTTTGTAACTTGCAGTTTCTTTCTGTGTAGGTACAACTCCAAGAGGAGACATTGGAGAAGAACCAAGCTGGGTCTATAAGGAATCGCACAGGAGATGGCACCACATATTTATGCTGTGTCAGGGTTGCTTAGATCTTAATCATGGCACTGAAAAGATTGCTACTATCTAAACAGTTGGGTGTGCTTTATTGGGAAGTTTTAGGGAAAATGAGTTTCTTCCTGATATGTTTCTGCACTAGTAGGTTGGTTCAGTAATAAATACGTGAGGCCTTCTAAACTGTTGTGTTCTGGTTTGTGAAGTATTCAATAATACAAATGTTCTCTGGCTATCAAGTGTTTAATTATGGCCAGTAAAAGGAACTGATAGTTAATTTTTTTTAAAGATTTTATTGGGAAAGGGAACAACGTTGGGGAATCAGGGAAGGGGAACAGACAAGTTGCTGACCTTTTGTTCTTCGATCTAGTTGTGGAGGACGTCGCTTCACTGGCCCATGTTGGTACTATGATCATTGCACTCTTCCTGGCTGAGGCAGTCGGTTGCCAGCCATTGGACGGCGGCTCAAGGCTGCCGGACGCTCACACTGTCTGCCAGCCATTCACAGTAGCCCACTAGCCTGCACTGTCGCTGGCCACTCACCCAGCTCCAGGTTGAGCTGTTGTTCACCATCTTAGCTGTAGAGGGTGCAGCATCACTGGCCCATGTGGGATCCGAACCGGCGGCCCTGCTGCTCAGAGTTCGCGCTCCCCAGCCAACTCTTAACCAAGTGAGCCACTCGGCCGGCCCATTAAGTTTTTATTTAATTGTAATTAGTTCCATGTGGCTAATGGCGCTTGGACCTTCTGTTATAGGAAGTGCATATATGGGTCATCTTCATACCTGAGGGTAGCACATTCTTAAACAGCATCTTTATATGCTCTTCTATGATGCCAGTCCTCAATACAAGTAGGACTCATAATCACCTGAACGGGGTGGCAAACTGGTATGCTGCCTGTTTTTGTATGGCTTGTGAACTAAATTTCTGCATTTTTAAATGGCTGAAAAAAGAACTATTTTGACAATAAAATTGACTGGACATTTATGTGCCGGGCACTGTTTTAAGTACTTGGAATTACTTAGTTGGTAGGCAAATATATCGTATGTTGGGCTAATGGGCCATTATTGCAAGCCATAAGAAATGTCTGGAAAAGGTGGGAAGCAGCAAGTGCCCTCATTACCTGTGAAATTAGGATGAAGTGGCAGCAAGGGAAAGGGGAACCAAGTTTGGGGTAACCCCCTACTCTAGGTTTGTAGGGAGCCTGTGCTGGACATAGCTGAGAAGGCAAGTGGCAGATGGGTGCTGTGTATAAGGTGCAGCAAGTGGGGGGGCTGCACAACGGGTCCCTACCTATAACCACATTAGGAGCCATATTCCTTAAGGACCACTGTGCTTACTGAAAATGTGAACAATGGGCTACAGAATAGCAACCAGCCCCTACATGTCAAATTGATTTCCTCTAAGAGGATACAATTAAGGATACAATTAATTGGCAGTCAGGGACAGGAATTTCTAACCATTTTGGAGTGTGAAAATAGTCAATTTCCCTTTTGCTCGATGTTAGACTCTACCAATAGAGGGCCCTAGAGTGACACAGGCTGGAAGACGCAGTAGGGATTCTTGGGATCTGTTCTCAAGCACATCAGCAAACATGCAGAAACCCTGGCAATGTTCTAGCAAAGCAGAGGGTTGCTCTTGTATGTCACTGATAAGTGCTCTCCAGCCTTTGGCTTAGCCACTGCAGTGGTAGGTAGCATGTTGTAGCAATCCACTCTCAGGTCTGAATCTCAGCTGGGAGAAGGGCTCATTCACTTTTCCCTCAGGTCCAAAGGTAGTTGCTCTCAGCATATACTATGCCATCACACCTTAAAATTATTTTATTCTTTGTGGTAGCTACCCTTTACCTACTTAATTCTTTATATTAAGTTTTCTGTGTTTAAATTACTGGTGTGTGGTTTCTCCTAATTGGAACTTGACTGTATATCAGAAATTTTAAGGTTATATGACATCACAAGACTGAAGGCAGGAGCAGATAAGAATTTAGTTGTGCTATTAAGCGAGATATTAATGATCGGCAGGAATTCAGAGTACCACCACTCTTCTCAGTAAAATTTTTATTTTTTAAATTTACATTTATTGTTTTAAAAGAGGATTTGAGCAGCCGGTTGGCTCAGGTGGTTAGAGCGCAGGCTCATAACACCAAGGTTGCTGGTTCAGTCCCCACATGGGCCCACGGGACTGTGCCCTCCACAACTAGATTGAAGAAAACTACTTGACTGGAGCTGATGGGTCCTGGAAAAGCACACTGTTCCCCCAATAAAATTTTTTTTAAAAATCGGGATTTAAACAAATACCTTAGCTTCACTATTCAAAGTAGGTTGGGATGTCCTCACGGGCCCAGGGAGGTTGGAGCAAGGCCAACGTGACAGCAAAGAGGTTTCTCTACAGACTTTGAATGGGTAAGATTAGAATCGAAAGGGAAAGTGACATGGACACCATTGTTGGTTGGCTGTGTGAAGGATTTCATTTTGAGCCTGGGAATGAAACACAGGTTCTGGTTCCAGTGGCCCCTCACTAGCTTGTACAGTTGCTAGTAGTTTTTCACCTAAAGGATTAGATCTGTTTCCTGAAGGGATGAATGGGAGCTTAAGATTTATATATATTTCCCCACAAGAAGTGCAGCATAACATGTCAGCTTTCGCAAGATATGCAGTCAACCCCATGGTGGAACTGCCCATCTTATCGGCCTACTGAGAAGTGACCGCAGAGTGGTGGTCAAGAGTTGGCAAATTCAAATCTTGTTCATCATTCACCAGCCTGTAAACCTGTCAACTGCAGCATGGGGCCAATGGGACCTCCCTCAGGGCTGTGAGCATAAAATGTAATAATATACAAAAGCACTTAGTTGAGTGACTGCCTAGGAAAAGGAGAAGAGGGATGGGGAATGAGCAGGATTAAGGCTTTGGTGTTGATCCTTCCCTAGCAGACTTGCTATATGCTGGATAAAGCTAAAATAAGACCGAGACCAAAGATAGTGGGGAGGGGCAGGTTTTCATGGGAGAAGACAAGTGGGGATGGTGCTCACTTCCAGGCTACTTGGGACTGCTTGTCTAGAGCTGCTGATGGAGAATGGCAGGAGCAGCAGGATAGGATGTGGCTCTCAGCCTGTCCCTAAATGAAACGATTCTCTTGATCAATTAGAATAATTTAAATTCCCGCAGAGCTGATAATACAGATGTTTTGGAAATGTCTTATGAAGACGCATATAATAGCAGCAGTGAGGGAAATGGTAAAAAAAAAAAAAAAACAGCAGAAAAGCAAACACCAGCAGCGTAGGCCAGGCTAGAGGCATTTTCTAGAAGCAAAGAAAAAGGGAAAGCTTAAAAGTTAAACTTAATCCAATATAAAACCTCACTACTGGGCCGGCCAAGTGGCGCGTTGGTTAACAGCTGGCTTGGGACACCAGAGGGCCCCGGTTCGGATCCCACATATGAGGGCCAGTGACACTGACCTCTACAGCTAAGATGCTGAACAACAGCTCAACCTGGAGCTGGGCTGCCGTGAGTCGCCGGCGACAGCATAGTCTGCAGCCCCTGCTG